GGGGGGAAGTTGGTCAATGGGATTTTGGTTCCCATTGACAAAGAATCCCATATTCTTTCTTCAGATTTACGTATCCATCTCCTAGGTGGGTAGATAACTTTCCCACCTAAGGGGAAGTTATCAATACTTGAATGGGACAAAAATGCCCCTTTTAATAATAAAACTATATGACTAAAATGGTCATTACCTTATTTACATGAGAAGTTAAAAAACATAGATAAATGCAGTTACCTAGATAAGTTTTTCCTGAGAAACACTTACCCGGATAAATAACTATCCGAAAAGCAAACAAGGCCTTAGTACCATCTATAATCATGTTTCAGCTGGAATTAGTGAACTTTTGTTTTAGTTTGACTTCAGCTTTTGTAAACTTTTGTAAATGGCACATGGTCGGTACATTGTAAATTTAGATGAATTTGGCAGCCCACAAACCCACTAGAAGAGCTCTCTAACTTCAGCTTCTGAAGCATTAGCTACACCAACTGGCCCACTGAAACCCCAAATCACATTGCCACCTGATTTGAGGATTAATCCCCGAATGCTGGCCTGAGAAACTTTTACAACTACCATTGAACTTCAGGTTGAGTTCAATATACAAGTGATTTTTGGGTGTCTTAATATACCTACTGGCAGAACTCAAATTACACTACTAGCAGAACATATCAACCATGTTCAGAATTTTTGGACCAAAAGGTTTAGGATTTATTTACTTTTAATTATATGTTTATGTCTGCATGTAGGAGCATGTTATGTTTATTTACATGAAAATGTTTTAATGCATGTTCTGATTTTTTACACATTTATTTGATTGATTATTTTACATTGTTCTTCAGCTTTTTTGGATTTTGTTATAAATTGTTAAAAATAAACCGATATATTGTTTGTTGCAAATTTATTAACAGATTTATATATAAAATATGCTCCAGCCTTCTTTGTTCAAATGTTCATAATTTTATATGTTATTTGTTTACTAACAGATGTACATACTTGTTTGGGTCAAATTAAATATGAAGAAGAACAAAATATGATCTATTAATTAATAAATTCTATAATGCTTTATAGAAAATACTATAAGTTTATCAATTTATCAAACTCATTATTTCATTATTTTTCTATTGGTATTGGTATTTATGTTATTCATATTCAATTAATATATATATATATATTTTTTTATTCTAACCGTTCCCCAAACTGTATTAAAAATCGCACCAAATTGATTTAATTTGATCTAAAAAATTCTAAAACCTTAATTTATTGATTTGGTCTGTGATATACTCCAAACCACACCAAACAGCAAGGGAACGAAGTCAACGAACCAAAACTCACTTGATCAACAGGTTAGATTGAGTTTAGCCAATCATCAACTTGGCCATGGTACCATAAGTCATAAATCAAGACCGTCCAGTCTATATGTGGTAGATTGCTTCCGTTCATCCGAACCGTTGAATTTATAAATTCTGGAACCACTCCAATAATTCATGCTTGCTTGCCACGTGTACAGTTGCCTCTCCTAGACGGTCTTTATGATATACGGACCAAAATGGCCAAATTTTACACAGGAGTCCTCTAATAAGGCGGGAAAGGAGAGTCGCAGAGAGAGAGAGAGAGAGAGAGAGAGAGATGGCACCTGTAGTTCCGAGCTCGCAGCCGTGGGTGGAGAAATAGTAATATCATCCTCTTATCTTTGTTTCTCCATTAAACAATCGTTGCTTCTTCTGTTTCTATTTCAGGTTTGACGAAGAAAAATGAAGAATCTCTTTCTTTTTTTTTTTGCTGTTTTCTTTGGTTAACAGTCGACCAAAGCAAGTGAAGGACGTAGCTCACCAGGATGAGGTTGTTCGGGTTCTAACCAATACCCTCGAGACTACAAATGTGAGTATCAGTTCTATTGGCCCAGATATTGCTTGAATTGTGCCTGTGTTGATCATGTTCTTGGTTTCCAATCTTATGCTGCAGTGCCCACACATGCTTTTCTATGGCCCTCCGGGGACGGGCAAGACAACAACTGCCCTCGCTATTGCTCACGAGTTATTTGGGTATGCCGTTATACTGCTTTCTTCTAATGGCGCTTTCATATTTCTTTCATTTTTTAACTTCTTAGGAATCATAGGGTAGGTAGATATTTCATGAGAAGTTCTCATTTTCTATTTGGGATTCTTTGCTAGGGCATAGTTGTGCTCTTTCTAAGGTTGCCCTCTTGCAAGTGATAGAATTATCAGATTTGTCATCCTCATCCAGCTTAATAGGCTAGAGGAGAAAAGGAATGTTTGGTCTTATGTTGTTTGGTTAAAAGGGAAAGTTAGAGTTTATTGARAAATGATGAGGTTAATGATAGCCTAGGGAATGAGGAAATGGGGATTACATCAGATGTTCATTTGGATGTTATGACTATACACTAGAAGAAATAGATAAGGGTCAAGATTTATACAATTGAAACCAATGTATTTGTAGCTACTTGATGTGTTTCTTTACTCTTTAGCCAAATTTGTCTGAAAAATAACTCACTATATTAGTCTTTCACAGACCTGAACTTTACAAGTCTAGAGTACTGGAGCTAAATGCAAGTGATGACCGTGGGATCAACGTAGTACGAACTAAGATTAAAGATTTTGCAGCTGTTGCTGTAGGCTCTGGTGGCCGTCAAGGGTATTGCTATATCATACCCCCTTTCTTTTTGCTCCCTTTATCTTATGTTTGTTCTTTCATTTCATATGGATGCTTTTGTTGTGTTGACTTCAGGGGTCATCCTTGCCCACCCTACAAGATCATAATCCTAGATGAAGCCGACTCAATGACAGAAGATGCTCAGGCACGTTGAGTACAAAATTCTTCTTATGATCCTTAAGAACCGCTTGCTGAATCATTTCTAAACAAAATGTGATGGTTGTAGTATTTATATATATTTGTCATACAGAATGCCTTGCGACGTACTATGGAAACCTACTCTAAGGTCACACGATTCTTCTTCATTTGTAACTACATTAGCAGGTGCCTTTCCTACTTCCTTCCTCTGTTCTCCTATTATTACTGTGAAAAATTATGCAAGGATATTCAGAGAGAGAGAGAGAGAGGTGTTGTCAGAACCAGGCTACATTTTCCTTCTTTCTTTATTCTTTTAAAGTTGGTGATACAATTAAAATCTAATTATGCTTTTGCTTATATTGATAAAAAAATTATGCTTTTGGCTTTTTCTTATAAAAAGGATGTTCAAGGGAAAGAGAAAATGAAAATAACTCACATGCTTCCTTTTTATTTAGGATCATTGAGCCACTTGCTTCCAGGTGTGCAAAGTTTAGGTTCAAGCCACTCTCCGAAGATGTCATGAGTAGTCGAATAGTGCATATTTGTAGAGAAGAAGGTCTCAATCTGGACTCAGAGGTGCCAATTAGTGGCTTTATTTATTTATTTATTGTGAATTTAATGGTTCAGCATTAAACTGGTTTTGCATGGTACATACTGTTAACTTCAACATCTTTATACATGCTCTTGCTTAGGCTTTTTCAACCTTGAGTAGCATTTCTCAAGGTGATCTTCGTCGGGCCATAACGTACTTGCAGGTATCTTAAAAAGTTCACTATTATTTTATCTCATGCCTATGATTTTAAGCCATTACCATGTGCCTGATATTTTTCATTGGTCAAGATAAACTTCAAACCAAAGTCTAATCTTTAGGTCATCCAACTCCTTTCCAAGGTTTAAAATGCCAGTGCCAGTGCTAGTGGAGATGTCGGTCGTCCAAATATAGAAACATGTCAGAAATATTGTAAAAATTATAGACATGGTGGAAACATTGCAAAATATACAAAATATAGAATGGTGTTTTATGAAATGATAAAAGAAGCATAGGYACACATTTTTAAATTATTGTCTTGTTCTTATAATCATTAAACAAAGCTAAGAAACTAAGATTATAGACATATGAATACATTCTGAAGCCTTAAGATTCAAAGCTTCATGATAGAATGATTTAAACCAAAATTTAAGCTCATAGAAAATGTAAATGGTTGTAATAGATCAACCAAATAATTTATTACACAAACAAAAACTAATATTTAACTCCATGTTTGAAATGAATATGAGCTAGCTCAAATTGATAATTGTGTAAGTTTGGTGGGCAATAATACCATTGTTATTCAACATATCTACAATACTGAGATAGCATTATGCTTATACTCCACATAGTGCTGGTAATGTTCATTGGGGGAATGTGTTGGTTCCAGTAAAATTTCATGTTGTTACCCATAGAAAATGTAAATGGTTGTAATAGATCAACCAAATAATTTATTACACAAACAAAAACTAATGCTTAACTCGATGATTGAAATGAATGTTGAACTAGCTTAAAGTGATAATTGTGTAAGTTAGGTGGGCAATACCATTGTTATTCAACATATCTACAATATTGTCACCAACTTATGTTATAATGCTATCTCTTATACTCCACATAGTGTTGGTAGTGTTCATTGGGGAACGTGTTGGTTCCAGTAAAATTTCATGTTGTTACCCATGGAAGCGGAAATGGAAATATGTCATGGAAACTATTTCTTGTACTCCACATAGTGTTGGTAGTATTCATTGGGGAATATGTCAATTCCGGTAAGATTTCATGTCGCTACCCATGGAAATGGAAACATGTCGTGCAAATATTAGGGAAATTAGGGACATTTTAAGCCATGTTCCTTGTGTAACTTGTTTCTCCCCTATTGTGGATGTGGAATGAACTTTCTTGATATTTGATGAAGTATTGTTGTCCCTGTGGTACCTTTTATTCTAATCATTTGGTGACCCTAAGTTGATAACAATGTTTTAAAAACTGAGCTGGACATTGACCTGGAAAGTTGTATGGGTGGTAGGTCATGGTTCTACCAGGCAGTTTTCCCAGTGAAATGATCAAAATTGTCCAAAACCTAGGAAGTAGGAACCAGTCAGCTGTGCAGGTCACAGGGTCAGCAGTTCGATCATCTGAGACAATGACCATTGAAAATACTGGTTGATGAAAGCAAAAAACTTGTGTTCTATTTTCATAGAGATGAAATATGCAAGGTTACATTTTGCATTAATGTTGACTTGTTTCTTCTCATACTATTGGACTCTTTTGCAAGATGATTACCTTCAATAGATCTTTAGAAGATATATGATCCATCTCTATCAGGCAAAGCTTCTACATAAACAATTTATAGGAATTATTAAATACTTAATTCATGCAAAAAAATGCCAAACTTGGGTTTTTGTCTAGTCCACCTGTCCAAGACACCATGTAACTGGGTTAAACATAGGTTAATGACCTTTTTTTTGATAGGTAGGTTAATGGCCTTTTTTTTTATAAAATACTTTATTCAAATTATACATTAGGGATTCATTTAGTTCTTCATTGGTTTCAAATCAATTTTCAAATGTGGAAACCCAAGATTGAGATCTAAAAAAAAATGTGGAAACCCAAGAAACCAGATTTTGTGAAGGCTGTACTTATAGAACTTGAAAACCAGAATTTTGTTTTGATTTCAAGAAATTTTGAAAATTTTGACATTTCGATGATTTTTTTTCTAGGTCTTCAAAATTTGTAGTATTACAAACCAATCTAGAACAATCAAATTTCATGTCAAAATAAATGTATAACTTTCGTCAATGGTTAACCACTTAGTTTATTGATGAAAAAAGTAGTAGAATAGCTAGAAGGGATGAAGAAAAAACAAGGAAATAGAATAGCTTCTATAGTTCTACTACAGCTGTAACGGGTTACTGATTTTTGTAATCTGCAACCATAACAATTTGTAATTAAATAGATCGTACTAATCTTGTCACGGAAGATGGAACAGGTTTTCTGGGAAGATTAACTTTAGAGTTTGCTTAAGATCCGTTATAACTGCCACGGTTTATCTAAGCACGTTACATCTTCTAAGGTCAAGCATAAATTTCATGATGTAGTGACTGATCCAGTTATTATAGACAAGAAACAAAAGTCATTTTTCTCCTCTGCATGATCTAATGGCCAACATCGCTGCATCTAAGTAATCACYTTATCCCTTTGGCTGCTTAAAGGAGGCAAAAGATATGGTTGATGAGTGTGAAGCATTAGGGGTTGGGAAGGATTTCCTCTATAGTGGGGCTACATTTACTGTTGTAAAGAATTTTAGCTTTTGTAGCCTTTCTTTCACGCACTCTGTATCTTCTTTCTCCTGATACAACTTTCCCTGCTTATCAGAGAAATTACTGCACTATGGATTGAGCTCTGATAAATAACTATTATCCGGAATGTAAAGATGTAGACATAGCATATATAATTAAAGTATTCCTTTCTATACATTTTAGCATCCATTGGCAAATTAATGCAAAGGGCCCGCCTGGGGTAGTTTTACACCACTCTTGGGAATGTAAGAGATCAGGTATACTTGTGGTTTTGCACTCATAGAAGTCCTTTAAACAGTAAAATATCAAGGAAAGATTTGCCTATACCATGTATTTCTCTAAATTTGATTGAAGCATAGTATATGGATCATTATTTTATTTTATTTCATGTCATTTTTGAGGAGGGTACCTTGAGTTTTGTGAAAATATCCTATTTGTGAAAAGATTGTGCCTTTAACTTTTTTGTAAACAAACTTCTTGGTGGTTAGGAATTTATTAAAGCTTTAAACAAGGAAAGAATTTCTTGGTTGCTGGATTTCTAGTTGGAGCAAGATGGGAGATTTACATTATATGTATTGAATATTGAATTGCTTGGCTCACAACTGCACTTCATAATCCTTGATTATCTCTCGAAATAATTTACAGAACAATATTGATGTAGAGAACACTGATGTGGGCCCCACAGCTACGGTCCCACTGTGTTCGTAGGGTAGAAGATGTTCTAGTCTGCCTAGGGTTAGCTATTGGTCATTTAGTTGTTTTAGTTGTTATTTATTTCAGTCTTATTTTTTGCTCTATTTGTTATGTAAA